TGTGTGTGTGTGTGTGAGAGCTGTGAGCTGTGTGTGTGTGTGTGTGTGAGCTGGGGCTGTGTGTGTGTGTGTGTGAGCTGGGGCTGTGTGTGTGTGTGTGTGTGTGTGTGTGTGAGCCTTCAGCTCTCTCGTATTGGTTTTCTTCTCAAGGCATTCCACCCCTGAGCCACGCCCCCACCTCTGGCTTTGCCTGCTCATTAATTGGAGATTTTGAGTCTCTCCCACTTGCCGGCCCAGCCTTGGCCTCACACTGCGATCCTCGGAATTTTTAGCCTCCTGCATGGCTGGAATTACAGGGGTGAGTACCGGCACCCAGACCCCATGATGGAGCTCGAATCAAGGACAATGTTTTTTTTCCCCTCTTTATTCTAGAAAGCTGGTCCTGGAATAGAACGGCTTTCCTTCCCACCTTCCCACCCGTGTGTCCCAAGTCTGGGCGTCCTGTCTACGCTTCCTCTCTTCCTCCTTCTACTGGCCTCTTCCCTCTGGCTTCATTTTAAACGTTTTTATTGCTGTTATAAAGGTGATGTACGGAGAGGACACAGTTACATAAGTCAGTAAGGAGCCCATTTCTGGGCTGGGCAGGTGGCTCAGTGGTAGAGCGCTCGCCTCGCATGCGTGAGGCCCTGGATTCCATTCCTCGGTACCACAGACACAGAAAAAAGCCAGAGCTGAGGGACAGCACCCAGGCCCTGAGTTCAAGTCTCGTGGACTCTCCCTGGCTGGCTTTGGCACTGTCATGGTCAGATTTCAGCCTCCTGGAGTGGCAGGGATGACAGGTGTGAGCCACGGTGCCCGGCCTCAGCCGCATGTTAACCATGAGCTCGAAGGAGGTAGACTGTCCCAAGAGAAGTGTGGAAATAGAAATGCAAGTGGAAATAATTGTGTGTGTGTGTGTGTGTGTGTGCACGTGTGTGTGTCTGTCCCCTCGGTATCTCTTGCTTCCTTTCTCACGGGTGAACAAAACTGTGTGTTTCTAGGTGTGGTGTGTGCTGGGTTCAAATCCTGCCCCATTGCTCGCAGTGTGTGAGTCAGAGACTTCCTTAACCTGTTTGTTTTTCTCATCGACCTGGTAACCTTAAACCCCACGGCACAATTCCTGCCCGTCCGCTAGGGCTCCTGTGTGTTATGTATTTTTGGCTCTGGTGCTTGAACTCAGTACCTCCTGCTCTGGCTTAGTTGTTTCTCCATTCCAGGCTGGCGCTCTACCCCTCGCACCATGGCTCTCCTCCCGGCTCAGGGGAAACCAGAGTCTCCTGAACTTTCCCCTCCCCCGGCTGATTTCACGCCTGGATCCTCAGACCTCGGCCTCCCGAGTTGGCTGGGATTACAGGCGGCAGCTTCGGCACCTGGCCCTGTCCTCATTTTCTGTTTGTGTCTGCTCGCTCTATCTACTCTGCCATCAGTGACACCCAGCTCCAAGGGGAAAGATCAGCAGGACTTCCCAGGACAGATCACCCCCAAATGAGGCCTTATGGAACCCCCCCACCCCACCCCGGGGACAGGAGTCAGGAGAAACCAGATTTCTCCCTTCAAGTGAGGAGAGAGTCCCAGCCTCCCAGGAGCAGGGAGGAGAACGGAAATGAGCTAATGACAGACTGTCGGTTTAATTATGTCTCCCTCTGTCCCTCAGGATCGTGGCTCCACCCTGAAGTTTTCTCCTTGGCCTCGGGCTTTCCTGCTGCTTCTTGTGGAGATGGGGTCTCTCTCCTCCCCTGCCCCTGGGTGGGCTGCTGTGGATAGCGATCCTCCGGATCTCAGCCTCCCGAGAGGCGGCAGTGAGGAAAAGGGGGGGTGGGGGGGTGGAGAAAGTGCCACGGGGGCCGTGGGGGTGTGGTGACCTGCGGGAGGTCACCGATGTCCCCGGGCGTGATCACGTGACCAGAGCGGGTGTGCGTGCGCTGTGTGTGCAGTGTGTGTGTGTAGCTGCAAGGCGAGGGGTCCGAGTGGAAGGCAGAGAGTTGGTGTCAGGCTTGGACTGGGGTGATGAAGGGGCTCTTTGTTCTTGGGCCTCGCCGGCTGCTTCAGTTTCTGCTGCTCATGGTTCGCTTTTTCTGGTCTCTGGAGCTAGAGTTGAGTAATGAGAGCGTCTAGGGCGGTATTTATTTGTTTCAACGGGGAGACACAGCCCATTAGCGGCTCCTATTAAATTAGTGGCTTCCACCAGGCCTGGAGAAACAGAATAGACTAGAATAAGCTAGAATACTAGAACGAGAGGAAATCGGATAAAGAGCGCAGGGCAGGCGATGCTCAGCAGCATGGGCAGGGCTGGGAGATGATATTTTATTAAGGTAAAAAATCTCCACAGGGCTGGGCAGGTGGCTCAAGGGTAGAGCGCTCGCCTCGCATGCATGAAGCCCTGGGTTCGAGTCCTCAGTGCCACAGACACAGAAGAAGCTGGAAATGGTGCTGTGGTCCAAGTGGTAGAGCGCCAGCCTTGAGCACTTCCGTCCTCTCCCAGAATTACCCACCACAGGGAAGGATCTCCGTGTAGCCGAGATCCAGAAGGTCATAGGTCACGCAGGAAGTGTCCCTGGCCAGATCTGAACTCCTGGGAGCCAGGTCTCATGGGCTTTCCTGCCTGGCCTGGCTTTGAACCGCCAACTTCAGATCTCAGCCGCCTGAGTAGCTGGGGTTCCCAGGCGGGAAGCCGCCGTGCCCGGCTCCCAAGCGTCTAATGACAGCACAGAGATACCGCGCGGCCCGTGGAGGGGAGGGAGCGCTGCTGGGGAAAGGGAGGTGGCTGGCTTTTCCTGCTTGTTTTCCCCTCCGAAATGCCGACATCATCATCATCACCAGCACCACCACCACCATCATTAAACACGTACTAATTGCACATAATACTGGGGTCCAGATTAATTGCGTATAGTATTGGGGTTCAGTGTGATGTTGCCACCCACCCATCCACCCTCCATCCATCCATCATCCACCCACCCACCCATCCACCCACCCACCCATCTACCCACCCAATCCACCCTCTATCCATCAATCCATCCATCCATCCATCCATCCATCTATCCATCCATCCATGCATCCATCCATCCATCCACCCATCCATCCATCCACCCATCCATCCATGCATCTATCCATCCATCCATCCATCCACCTACCCATCCATCCATCCATGCATCTATCCATCCATCCACCTACCCATCCATCTACCCACCCACCATCCATCCATCCATCCATCCATCCATCCATCCATCCATCCATCCATCTATGCATGAATCTACCCATCCATCCACCTACTCATCCATCCACCCACCTATCCATCTACCCACCCATCCATCCATTCACCCATCCATCTACTGTCCCATCCACCCTCCATCCATCCATCCACCCACCCACCCAACCATCCACCCACCCAACCATCCATCTACCCACCCATCCACCCTCCATCCATCCATGCATGCATCTACCCATCTATCCACCTACTCATCCATCCACCCATCCATCCATCCATTCACCCATCCATCTACCCTCCCATCCACCCTCCATCCATCCATCCACCCATCCGTCTCTGATCAATCTTTTTTCTCACCCCCCCCAGCCCCTCCACACCTCCAATCTCTTGTAGTCTCTTTTCTCCTTTCAGGTTTGCCTGTTTTAGTTCAGACGCAGTGAGAGAACACGGGATGTCTGTGGCATTTTGTCTTTGTTTTCTGTTTGTCTTTTGATTAACATAATGACCAGTTCCAGGATGTTCTTCTTTATGACCAGGCAGTGCGCCATGAGTCTACATTATCCCCGTCATCTACAACACATGCTGCCCTTGGCAGTGTAACTGCCAACTAAGTTGTACAGGTCCCCAAGTGACTGTCTGGGCGTGGTGGCTCCTGCCTGTAATCCCAGCTACTCAGGAAATCACGAGGAGACCCCGCCCCCATCCAAGTTTCAACCAATAAGCTGGGCCCCAGGCCAAAAGTGGGAGAATCCTATTGGAGAAATAAGTAAAGCAGGAGGGAGTCAGACCCAGTGGGTGCTGGTGACTCCTGCAGTTCTACAGGGTACTGAACCAAGTTCTATTCTGCTCCGCACTCCACCGGGGAAGCAGATAGCCTAGGGGAAAAATCCAATTTAAAAAAGGGGAGAAATCGAATTAGCTCTCCGGAGATCTGGCAGGGCCAGACGGGAAGTGGAGATAAATGCACCAGACGCACAGGGAAGGCTGAGCTGGCTGGGCGCAGAAAATATCCCCCGATCCTTTGTCCCTAAGCCGGTTTCAAATCCAACTTCTTCGCTTGAAGCTGGGTGCTTGTGAAGCCCATTCCTGTCAGCCCAGCTCATTAGGAGGCCGAGATCTGGAGGATCCTAGTTGGAGGCCAGCCTGGGGTAAAGCAAATCCAGGAGACTCTGATCTCCAATGAAGCCCAGTGAAGAGTCGGAGGCGGGGCGGTTGGTGGCTCAAAGTGGCAGAGCGTCAGCCGAGCGTGGGGAAAAAACTCAGGGATAGTACCCAGGCCCTGAGTTCAAGTCCCAGTAAACCAAACTAACTCAATACATGAAAGGAATTAATGCAAGCAAACCTTCCAGACCCGCCTCACATCTTGTCATCATCTTTTATTACGTATCAAATTGTCTTCAAATATAAGTTACAACCCGATTAAATTTGATAGACATTTTTTTTTCCTTTTAAATCTATGTAAGGCAAAACAGAACATTTTCTCTCTATGTACAACATCTTCTGTGTAGAGTCTGGGCTGCGGAGTACCTTTCTTTGCAGGATTTCTGCTACACGGAGCAAGCACAATACAAAATACAAAATATCTTTAAAAATAGAAGGCGAAAGCCAAGCCAACCCCTAAATCTCTCCCCCACGGATGTCAATATGGAGTCATGCATGACAGAGACAGGGAGGGAATGATTTTTGTTTAGAAATGTGAAAGGAAGCCTGTTAGTGGTAAAAAAACAAAACAAAACAACAAACCCTAAACAAACAACACCAAAGCCAAGGACAGCAACCAGAATAAAAACAAGCAACAACGCTATCGGGGGGAAGGCTCCTGCTCAGGTGTCTGCCAGCTGAATCTACACCATCTCCCGGTTCCGCCGAATGGCACAACATAAAATCATACTGAAAATCATGCCGAAAATCTGCAAGACACAAGGGCAGGGGCGATTTCATCTCGAGGTAGGCGCTCGGACAAATGACTAAGGAAACAGCACCCAGGAGGTTTCTAGGAGTTTTAACAGGTACTGAAGAGCCGGGTGCTGGTGGCTCCCGCCTGTCATCCCAGCCCCTCAGGAGGCTGAGGGCTGAGGATTGAAATTCAAGGCCGTGAGACTCTGATCTCCCAGGAACCACCAGGAAACTGGACGTGGCGCCGTGGCTCAAGGGGTAGAGCGCCCGCCTGGAGCTGAGGAGCTCAGGGACAGCGCCCAGGCCCTGAGTTCAAGACCCGGGACTGACGCCCCCTCATTCCCCCCCAAAATGAGGTTCTAAAGCAAGTAGATGAAGGCTGGATCATGAGAAGGACCAGTGGACTTGACAGATGATAAGGACTAAAGGCTCAAACTCCAGCAGCTGTTACAGGGGTCAGGACTCTGCGGGGAGGTAAAGGGGTGCGTGTGCATGTGTGCATGTGCGTGTGCGTGTGCGTGTGCGTGCGTGTGTGCGTGTGCGTGCGTGTGTAACTTAGGGTCTGTGGCCGCCAGCTCCACCCCAGCCCCAGGTCAGTATTTAGTTTTCATCCTGGTGTGGCTGCATTTCAACTTCTTTCTAGAAGCAGGTGTCCTTGTGTGTTTTTAGTGAAAACGGACTCAAGTGTTGTTGTTTCTTGGATGCCAGACCTGGGGCTTGAACCCGGGGCCTGCGCGCCGCCCCTGCGCTCGTGTGTGCAGGGCGGGCGCTCCACCGCCTGAGCCACGGCCCCCCCGCCCGGGCTGGCCTCGAACC